TCTTACCCATAACACCAGCAAGATAGTGTACCATGGGCATTTTACATTGATAGGGCACTAAGTCAAATGTTTATTTGTGTGCTTAGGTTAAGATCTGTATATATAGCGTGTAGAATTGTAAATAAATTAGATACAAACGACAATCGTTGGTTTATCAGTTCGGTTTCTTCCTTGATATTCCTGCCTAAATCCTATCTCAGAGTGGTCAAGAAATTCTCTAGAGGTAGAGCAGCGAGGTTCCTCCCGCTGCGACTCTTTTAGCCGCCACAAGAGATCAGTTGTGTGGTTCTACGAGACTGACAGTGCGGAAATAATCATCTACCACCATCATACTCCTTCCTCTTATCTGTATGTTGTTTTAGAAAAAATAAAAATATTCTGCACCCCCCGCCCAACCCTAGCAACACCACTTAAACTAGTTTAGTTTATCAATTGAGGGAGGGCGGAGTTCTTCAATCCAGTAAGCACATCATTGTATTTAGTTAGCGGAAGGTTGCAAAATAATTGATATTTTTATTAGAATGGATTTCCGCAAAGTAACGCCTGATTCTATCAATTATGTTGTTTTAGACTCTGGGCAACAGAAATCCTGTATTAAATATACAGGATTTTCACGATCACTAACAGACCCACCAACGGCAATGAACACACATAAAAAGATTTTAAAATTTGACATTTTTGGGGCTACTATCCCATCTCTGACAGCAAGCAGTAGTAATATAAGAAAGTGCATGACAAACACACGGTCTTGTATTACAGTGATTTTAGTTGAAATTTGAGTAGTAATGAAAATGCAGATGCATTTTCAGCCACGAAGACTAAGATGGAGTGCTAAAAAAGCCGGTAGTCGGTTACATTTTACTCGGCTACGTTTTAGTACTCACCACCATATGAAACACAGTAGCATTATGCTGTTTATTACGATGATATTCTTGTGCGTACGTGGTCATTCCGCGTTCGGGCCGGTCCATTCGCGCTGCAACCCATAACTTATTCTAACTTTAGACTGAGGTCTAGAGGTAATGCAAAAACATGTTAGTAATCGACGCCGATTTTCCCGTCCACTCGATACACATACTACTCAATTTTTACACTTAGACAACACTAGTCACTTCTCATATTATGATAGATTCTCTCAAGCCAGTGCAATATGCTAAGAACTTTATTTTTTTTGTGCCATCATTTATCCCTCATGATTACCGTGTAGTGGCGGTATAAGAATATCTACTACCCCATATCGGGAGAAACAAATCAGGTGATGGGCAGCAGGTTCTTCCTAATAACAAAGAAACATAAACAAACTGTAATTTCCAACCCGCTTTCCAGGCGCGGCAACTATGGCAAATATCCCCTATAAGACAATCTATCTTCTTCTTTGAGCGCCTCTCCATTACTGAAGGTCGGCAGTCATACTCCTAAATTCTTCTTTGTTCAGAGCTAGCTTGAACAGATCTTCTACTTTCTTTATCCCGGTCCATTTCCGGTTGTTACAGAGCCAGGACATTGTCCTTCTGCCAACACTTCTTTTATCCGCTACTTTGCCCATCACAATAGTCTGCAGCAGTTGGTAGCGTTCATGCCTTAGCACGTGTCCTAGGTACGCAACTTTTCTCTGTTTGAGGGTTTTGACTAGTAGGGGCTTAGTCCTTTTCATCTGATTGAGGACCTCAATGTTGGTAATTTTATCTCTCCAACTTATTCTGAGCATAAGACAATCTATAGAGGAAGCCTATGTTCCGCAGTGAACTTTAGTAGGCTGTAACGGTGATGGGATCCCTCATGAGTCTTTAGCTGAACATGAATGCCATAAACACGATACTTCACACCTACATTCATCAACTTTCTGTATCTAGCAGTTCGCTCCATCTAGTGGGCCACCATCTTCGTTTACCGTGCTAGGCTGCTATTCAATCGGTTGTCGGTTCTTTGAGCTACAAAAGCCGGCCAATGCCACTTCAGCTTGCTAATACGTAGGTAATAAAATCTGATCTTCTTTTAGGACCTTTATTTTATTTGATTGTATGTATGAGTCAATAGCTTTCAATACACACATCCGGTCTTTGTAACGGTGAAATAGCTCAAATTCAATACGGTATTCAAACATTTCCACATAACAGTAGGTGAACGGTCGACGGCGGAGGCGGTCGCGTCATTACCTATCTTCATTGTACACGCATGAGCATATCAGAGGGTTATTAAAGTTATTACCGACGGCGAAATTGGCCAAGCGACCGCTGAGGAAGCTGCCCAGCGAGACCTATTAGCGGTATTATATATATTTTATATGATCCCCGATCGTTCGACGATTATGGGTGCATTAAAGCGCCGTCGAATCGTCTACCGACCATGGGAATATGCGCAGCCGTTGCTTTGGTCTTCGTTTTTCATAGTTTAGTTTGCGATTCGGCGATCGCGATGTATATATTCCCTCTGCTTCTCTATGGGAAATTTTTATTGAGCGGCGGATTTTTTACCGTCACGAAAGAACAGAAAATATCTAAAAACAACATGACTAAACAAAATTTTCCATTAATATTTATGCATACAGTATCTCAACATTAATTTTTTTAATAATTAAAAATGAAACTATAGTGTATCTTAGAAAATCAAGAAAGTTTAAACGTAATTTTGTATTATTATCAATAAAACGGGTTAACCAGTTTCTGTTCCTCGATATTGCATACATGCAACTACAGCAGCGAAACACTATAATTACAAACGGAGCCCGCCTAACGACCATTTTGTGACAAAATTATGTTTATTAAGCCTGTTACTCATGTAAATATTATCCACAAATGTTTAGGTTTATACGGCTTTTATATTCTACAGATTTAATTTTCAAAACCTTTTTGTTTGTTTCAGGATCCCTTTACCGTAAGTACTCAATAGTAGCAATGGGAAATGGATATAGAATATACATTTTTCTGTCAATAAACTTAAGTAATCTTTTTTGTTCAATGTTTCATCTGCTGCTTCTCAACGACGGCTCATCATTCAGGGAGTAAGTATAATCTTCACATAATTACGAAACATACCTACCTATATACCCATAATACATACATAGACTCTGATCTAGATACAGATAATAGAAACTCATACAGATACCACACATATATCAACGTCACTGTTAGCTCATGTGCATAATTACGCACACAGGCAAGTTGACAAGACGATAATTAGTCGTGTTCAAGACGCATCGTCCCGCGGATCCTAATTGACGTACATGCAAACGCAATCAATATGACGTGGTAGCGGATGTCGCTCGAACACCGGGACAAGCCTTGTGCCCGGCACTTGAAACAGTTGTTGCGTGGCCTCAACAATCCTGGTTCACACTTCGCAATTTGCATACATGATCCACCATGTTGCTGAATTATAGGTATCCCAATACTCGCAATCCTAACTAAATTATTTACAAAATGTAAAAGTTAACAAAAGTAGTTAGGTACTGAATGGCGATTTTGTTCAACTCCAAAATGCGAGTATATATATACACATGTATATAAACTCATACATATAGTATATATGTATGAGTTTATATATATGTGAATATTAATTGCTGTGCATACTTCTTATTACACTTACCTCTTTTATCTCTGCACTACTCTAAGGTAGACTGGTATACCTCAGGCATTAAGTCCGCCTATATACATCTAATGTGTATATGATTTTATATAAAAAAATAATAATCATTGAATATTTTGTTGTTTACGAAACTTCTTTATAATTTTGATTACCTATTTTTAATATTTTCGCTCTATAATCTTTTATCCGATTCCCACGTTTTTATAATTATGTAATTATAAATTAATTATACCCATACTACGTAGTACTATTATTTATTCTGTGCCCGTACCTTTAATATAAAACAGAAAAAATATATGTGTGATGCGAGTGTTAACTCATAACATTAAAACATTAGTACTATTAGACTTGTTTTGGCATCAAGCAGTAAAATAACCAAACACTTAGTGAGGAATCCCCGTCTGGTCACAGAACACAACATTGCTTTTTAAGAGCATAAAATAAAATGACCTATAACAATTTACACGTCGGAGTGGTCGGAAGTCGGAATACTTTTATTGACTTAAAAACTGGTAGCCGAAGCCGAATATTAGTGAATTTGTGTCTAAACGAACGTTAATACTACCAAAGTGAACTGTTATGGATTTATTAATATAGCAATAAAGCAATATATCAATATTAATATAGCAATATATCAACAAAGCTTATTATTATTATTATTATTATTATTATTATATTGGTGTCCGCAAGCAAGCATTTATCTCTTGATTAGCAGTATCTTGTCTGTGTTTTATTAAAGTTTAATACCTACCGTTAAATCACAACAGACTTTAGCAAAGTCTACTAAGACTTCTTGGTAACACCCACTTGTAGGCGTTACCCCATGTTTTATATTAGTCTTAAATGTTATAGTCAAAGTAGAGAAGATTTATATCGGGCAAATTATAAAGCTTTGCTTTGTGCGCGAACCACGTAATCCTGTTTTAAATTTATTAGCTTATCCGACAATAAATTTGTAAATTCGGCTGCTGGCTGACCCGGAAACGTTATTGGAGTTAGAATTTCATTTTAAAGCACTTCCAAAGGATTTCACTTAGAACGGATTTTGTTCAATATGTAGTATTATTAGGTATATCACATTCAAAAAATATAATTCTACATACAATATTCTTTAAATTGGGTCAACTTATGCTATAGTAAAAATAAGTAAATTAATCTTTAGGTAAGTTGATTTTTTACCTTAAAGTTTATTTTCCAACACTTCACGGAGAATACAAAAAAATAAATAATTTTCTAATAAAATATTTAAACTTATTACTTATCAGTTTTTCCGACGAATATGTCAACAGTGAAATACTTTATGTATTAACAGTCGGTTTGGTTGGGATCAGTTTGTTTTATTTTTCTCTGCTTTATTCTGATCTAATCAATCAACTTTTTTTTACATGCCCATGTGATGCGCTGGTGTCAACTGTTTGCAGTATGTAAGTAATATTCTTTTTTTCATACGTTTTACATGATATTACTGTCTATCAATCAATTTGTATATTCTTTATTAATTATATTATGTTTATTATTGATCATCCATATGGGCGAATCTCGGCTGTCGCACGGCGTTATGACTAAAGCATCAAGAATTAACGCCACACGTCATTGATATCCAATGTTTATGATCACCGATATGGGTACGGAAAAAACGCCGAAGCCTATCACAATACTACGAATGTAGACAATGACGCAGCAATTTGCTACAAGGCTACATTTTTTCCTAAACATCGACTGTTACCTGTTTAACCAAACCCTATTATGAACATCAAAATCTACACCGATTCGCAAAAACAAGAGCTTCCTCGAAAAGACCACAAACCGGCAACAGGCTCTAGAGTCTAGATTTAAATGCTATGTTCCAATTTATCTTACAACTTTTAGTGTACGAGTGTACAAGTGCATTTTAGGCGACGGGGACAGCAATTTGAACGGAGGGAGATCAGGCACAGAACCAACGTCTTAACGTCCGAGCCTTGGCAGTGTAACACTGCCAACTGACTTATTCCGGCTGCTACTGAGCATTTCTTGGCAGAAAAACCTATTGGGTTTTTCTGATCTTTGGCCCGACCCGGGAATTGATTGTACGCGAGAAATCCGGGTTCGAGCTGTGGTGGTGCCAATAAATATTTTGATTGCAATTTAAGTGCTGATTTACCACGTGCTCGACGGGTCAGTGCAGCGGGTACTTCCTTGAATTTTTCCTAAATCCCTCTCGGAAATGAGAGAAGGCCTCGGAATTATTATAATACTTTTTTATTTATTCTTATTTTTATTATAATACTTTTTTATTTATTCTTCTTATTATTATAATACTTTTTTATTCAAACCCGGGGCCACACGACCGGCAGCCGCTTGTACAACCACTACACCAACCTGTTAGTCGAGTCGTGGTAAATACGACGTGTGGCAGAAAGCTAACTAAAACAGTTTTGGCTTTGTTTTTAATATAAAATTTCTATAAAAAAATGTCTTTCGCTTTGCACGGAAAATATATTAGAAACAGTTGCAGTTCTAATACGTCCATCGATCCATTATTCTGTTTTAAAAGCTTTTTATTCAGTTTTTGGATTTTTTTATAAAAGTTATTAATTTCTAAAACATTTGTGAAAGAGATGCCATGTTATATTTTAACCTAGAAGATTTTTCAACTGACGCTTTAGTACCTATTAAGCCTAAATTCTCAGATTAGATTTTCCGAGATTAATTCGAACGCGCAAGTTATCTAGTTATAATTTAGCCAGGATATTGGACACAGAATAGTCTACCCCATCGATACATGGACCGAAAATGCCTCTACCAAATGCCGACATCCGCGGTGAAATAAGGCAGCGACCTTTTTTACAGAAACGGCGGGAGCGTATTAGGATGATCAAACTTTGAACTAAAATTTTTAAAAAAGACAATTTGTAAACAGACACGCTCAATATTGATAACTAAGTATAATATATAATTATATGGATCATACCGCTTAGGATATACATATTATCTTCATCAAAATAACGTTTCTGTTCGAAAATGGGTATTTGAATTAGTAAAGAAATTTACAAAAACATTATGTTAGTTTTTATAAATAACTAGCGATCCGCCCTGGCTTCGCGCGAGTGATTTCTGGATCTAACAATAGACCTACCGGGTCCAATTGTGAATCTAAGGGTATGTTCCAAAATAGAACCCAGTGTACTGTCCAATGCAAATGACGTCATGAATCGACGCTATACTGTTGATTCTTTCCAAAACATAGAACAGTATATGACGTCATATATTTACGCCATATTGGAAAAGTGTTGGCGATTATTTTGTCATTTTGTGCTCCAAAAATCATTGTATCTTCCTAATGAAGATATCAGAAATTGTTCTATAATTTTTTGTATTTGAATAAATAAAAACAAATTCTGGCATGCTTCATTCAGCGCATATACAATTAAAAATTGTTTTATTGTGGCCGGATATCCAACGCAATATGGCGGCGGCACGCCAGTACAATATAGTGTCAATTGATGACGTCATTTGCATTTGCCAGTGTACTGGGTTGTATTTCGGAACATACCCTAAACCTAAACCATTCAAGGACCTGCACAAACAACAATTTTATAAAAGTCGGTCCAGTTGTGTATGAGTTCAGTGACAAACACACGTACAGGAGATTGATATAAGTATAAAAAGAGTTATAGTTAAGTAGAAAAAATATTTGGAGAAAAGAAAAATTAAGCAAAGGAATTTTCTCAATAATATCAGTCAACTAGCCTAGTCTAGCTGAAGAAATATATATTCTGAAGTCGCCTACGTTTACGCCTCCGCCGGTAATGTAACGCTAGTATAGATACGTGGAAAATTGTACCAGCAGCCAGCGCTCTCTCGAAATTAACAGCGCTTCCCTCGGCGCCAATATTTCTCTGTGCGACGTCGAACCTAGGACCGCCCGCCACTAACTACCCCACTGAATCAGCGACGATCACGCCTACACCTTGTCCATACTCCGATTGGATACGTAACTCGTATTCTCGGATAAAGTAACTAACATCTACTGTTAGCTTCGCAAAACAGTTAAAGTGAGCCATTTCTACTTTTGAGATAATATTAACCGACATTCTATTAGAGCCCAATAATTGATGGTCGAAGATTTGTGGCCGTAATTTACTTTCTCTATTTCTAAAATAGCTATCTCAATCTCAATTGTTTATCTATTAATATTATTAGTAATTATTGTTTACGTTAAGGATAATGCTTATTTATTTATATAAATACATAGATACTGTACATAAATAAAATGAAAGTGTTTGTCTGTAATATTTGCCATTATACATACATGCATGAATAAATATTTTAAAATTGTTTGTCTGTGTATGTGTCTGTCTGTCCGGGCTCCGGGGTAATCTTGGGAAAGGGCTGAACCGGTGGTAATGAACCCTCACGAACATATAGAGAGCCATGCCAGGAGTGGTCTAGGCTACACTTTTTACAAAAAACTTCGAAATTTAAAAAAAGATTAAGTTTAAAGTTTTATAAAGATAAAGTAAGTGTTGTATTTTGATAATGCCACTTTAATATAACCTACCCAAACGAAGCCGAGGCGCTAACATTAAAATAAAGCATCATATTTATAACAATGCTGAATATAGTCTCACTTGTGTTTAAGAACTTTTTCATAAATTCAAAATTCGCGTTTAACTTATACTTCTGTATACTTAACATCTTATTAAAGCTATGTTTAAAAATTCAGCTTTGTACCGGTTCCGAAAAATTATGCTTCACTTACTATAATGTTTTAAAAATTAAAATGACCGCTGATGATGGCAAGCTAATTCCTATAACTATGCTAATAGCACCCACCTTCACCAAAATATAATCTTTAATCTGGATGCAAATCATCCTAATACGTTCCGATTATAAAGAGCTATAATTTCGACATTATATTGTCCATCAAAGTGTTTTACATATATAAAAATAAAAGGTTGGCAATCAAGTAATTTGTTTCCCAACCTACTAAACTCATTTCGTGATAGAATCGTGTTTTGGTTTTAGATTTAAAATATTTTGCTTTTTTTTTTGTATTTTAGCGAAGGTTTTTCACAGAGGCTCTTCAACAACAAACATTAAAATCATTATTGTTCTCTACTCTTAATTAATTAGAGCAATATAATGGGTCTTTTACCTGTGCAATTGCCGTTCTGCAGTACCGGCCATTTCAAAATCAAAATATTTTTGTTTGGCTTAGAATTCTAATTTCAAATTATTATTATTTTTAAATATGTAATTCTTTTTTCAAAATTAGTTATTTGTTTTATTGATAAGTGTTATAATTTTATCGCATTTGAATCTTTTACGTTATCATGGATACTGTAAAAGTTCTAAGGAGTACCTTCGTGGCTGCAACGCGGCACAACATCTACGATGTTTACAAAGCGAATACTACAAACGAACGCACAACCTGTTATTGGTTTGCCCGCTTCCGTTCTGGAAATTTCGACCTGAAAAATTGACCTCGTGGTCGTCCGAAAACTTCGGTCGACAATGACGTATTAAAAACGATTGTGGAAGCTGATAATACTCAATCTACGCCTGAATTAGCAGCAGCTTTCGAAGTTAGCATCAAAACAATATTGGTCCATTTCCAAATTAGCAAGGTAATAAAGCTTGACAAATGGGTACCCCACGAACTCAATGATCGCCAGCGCGAAGTACGCGTCGAGACGTGCCTTGGACTGCTCAACAGGCAAGCAAACGAAGAAATTTTGAACCGCATTGTTACCTGCGACGAAAAATGGATTCTGTTTGACAATCGCAAGCGCTACTAAACAATGCTATAAACTAAAACTTACCCCTATAAAAGTGGTGGTCACTGTTTGGTGGTCTAGCGTCAAACGGTATGAGCATTACTGCAGACGTGTACTGTAAAAAGCTGAACACAATGATGGAGAAGTTTCGCACGTCTTCTGCCAGCTTTGACTCGCTCTTCCGCGCTTCTTCTGCAGGACAACACGCGGCTTCATACTGCACAACAGACGGTCTTCAAGTTACAAAAGCTGAGTTTGGAAGTCATCCGCCGTACTCACTAGACCTTGCGCCTACAAACTTCTACTTTTTCTAGAATTTGGATAACTTTTTGGCGGGAATAAAATTCAATACCCGAGAGGAAAATTCTTTTAAAGAATCTTTAGCCTCCCATCTAGCTGATTTCTTCAAGAACGTCAGATCAATAAACTACCACTGCGTTGGCAAAGATGCATTGATTGCATAAAAAATATAGAAAAATAAATACGTTAACTTATTTCATAAAAAACGGCAATTTCGAAGGAAAATACCTAATATTAAAAATAATAACAACTCAACAAATAAAATAAAAAAGACTCTTTAAAATGGTAAATTAAAGCCGTCGATAACCTATTTAAAATATTTTTTAAAGCTATTAATTAAGAAATTCTGCAAGTAAATTTTTCTATTTAATTTATTCTCACGTCAAAATGGAAAACGTTTTCAGACGGCAATGCACTGGGCGTGCAAACGGGGCGATGAAAATTTAGTCAAACTGTTGGCTGGAATTGCTCGGCAGGTCGTCAACGAGCGTTCGGTGAGTATATTCATACTCTAGAAACTATGTTTATAAAATAGCTTTTGTGCAAGCATCCATAAAATTTTAATAATTGTAAAAACGTCTTATACATACAAGCATCTACGCGAAATTCCATTTTCGCACTTTTGTATTTAACCTAATTAAACTCAAAAACACCGAGGAGTTAAAGAATTAAATGCCTAAATGTTAAAACAGATTTTTAAGTCGCGTCTAAGGATTTTTTCTTTCTTTTTGATCCAAATAGGGAATTGGTGATCAGTTTAGTTTTGTGGATATAATTTAAATCATGTCTGTCCATACGTTTTTTGGACAAAGAATGGAGACTAAATCCTATATCGATTGTATAAAGTCAATTTCATTGAATCATTTTAAGGAGTACCACACTAATTAGGTGTTTACATTAAGAGGGTCGTAATCGCGTACTTCTGGCTCGTTTTACGTAGAAGTTTTAATGTCCAATCAAGTTTAGTTGCCCAGAGCTATTTTGCCTGTTTTACGGGATCGTTAAAGTTTCATTGCACTCTCTTTTTCATGTGGCGTTCGGCGGCGACATTGGCGGATGCAGAATGGGGTAAGTCCGTTTTTATAGCTGGACTACTTGTGGATTCTAAGGAAGCTGGGCGGTAAAATTAACCGCTCGCCACTAACGTTTTAATATTCGTATTAAAAATATCATAGACATATTATTGTTTGACTTTGTCGTCACTGAAATTCTAATTTAGGATTTTTCGATATTTCCATATTATTATATGCTATTCTTCTTCTTTATTGGCCTTTATCAGTCCACTGTTAAACATGGTCATATCCTTTTTTGTAAGATTTGCCATTTGTCAACGCTTTGCTGCAGTACCAGACTTCTCACACACTTGACGCTTCTCCCTATGCCAGTGAGAGGATTTTACGTCTGGTATGAACAAGGTAGCATGACATCTATCGGCGGCCATGGCGCTCTTAATAACATTCATGGAAACAATATGGGGTGATGGAATCTCGAACGCTGACTCCAGCTGCTATGAAGATGATATATATAATAATATAGGAATTATGAACACATTTTCGTTGAAACTTTCCACTTAGTTTGAGTACATCTGTCGCTCAGTAATATTAGATAGGAGCTTCCGATCGATTTTAATATCTATCCGGTATATTATTTGATATAAATATTTGAAACGGGAACGCAAACGTTATGAAGGTGGCATATGTGAAACTTGTGATCGACGAGTAAAGGACTGTGTACACAGGCATTTTGTATCGTGCAATAGATTGTCTAATGTTTGCAAATTTCGGGTTGTGATATAAGATAACTTTTAAATATTTATCGATTAGTACGAGATAAGCAAAGAACAAGACGCTAGTGTTAGAACTTGATCTGCGGTGAAAGAAAACATGATAAATCCTTCATCTACAAGTAACATTATCTCAAAAACATCTAAAGTTTGCCAACTCTCATTAAGAATAAAGTGTCAGACTCTTAACTACACTTTACCATTTAAGAATGTTAGGCATGTATCCTTTATTAGGTACGTAACCTATAAAATTTGTAAATTTACAAAGGTAAATCGACGTTTTCGCTTTAAATTCGTCTAGTCAATATTTTAGGTTTTTACACTTCGTAAAAGTGTTTTAAAATAAAATGATATTTTAATGATAATATACTACCTTACTTATAATGTTATAAAGTCGTGCAAGCTCCTTACAATTCCTTTCTTGGCTTCACTCCACTATATTTTTATTTTATATTTTCAAATATTTCGAATAGCCTAGATAAATAGTTCTAGAGATAATCCGCACAGCGAAACCCTACGTAATTGTGGTTTTTTGATGCTGTTTTTCGTTATAATTTTATAATAAATGTTCTATTTATTTAGATTAATTAAAAAGAAATAAATGTATACGCAAATAATTCTTTCCTTCCAATCAATGGAATTTTTACCGCACGATGAACTTTTAGTGTGCACGAAGCTTATTTCCCCGGCTCGGGCACAACCACAATGACAGTACGGCTGTGAGCCTAAAATATTTTATGTACATGTGATAGGATCGCCGTACGTAAGTAAACATGTGGGATGTGATACTTGGATTCCTACGTAGCTTGATTTTCTTTTGTTTTGGTCCGATTTATGGTAAACTAGAAACGAACATTGGTGCAGTTTGACTTTATTCATCTTATTTTTTAATCAACTTAGTTAAATTTAGTAAAATTTTTTTTTGAATTGTATTAATTTTTTATTGTATTCAAACTCGACGCGTAATGCGTATATTTTCTATGTAGGTGTGTCCACCGATTTTTGGGAAACGACTGAACTGGTTTTATAACATCTAGACACATATACATCTGGAATGGTCCCATATAGGTAAATTTAACGAAAAACTCCAAGACTGCAAAATATAACGTGATTTCGCTTCTGAAGTCAGTGATAAGACGTATTTCATCGAGCATTTAAATCATCGTGCAGAAGATATTATGTGCAATAATGGTTACTGCGCATTGAATAAAATTACTTTTACTTACTTTATCGCGTTTAAATTTATATTAATATAATTTTCTATTATTTTTCTCCTCAACTTAATGTTATATAACTATTGTTTGGAAGAGCGGTGCTTCCTAGTAGAAGCAAATCCTTTGCTTCAAATGAAGCTCCAACCACAATATGATATGCAATAATAGATTACGTTATGGAATAAAGAATTTGAATTTGAATTTACTTGTTTTTAACTTTTCGAGTGCTGCAAAGTATTCATGGTCACGGATGGTGTCGTGGGGACTTGAGGTGTTTGACCTTAGTAAGAAAGTTTTCTTAATTTCAATAGCCTCAAAAATCATCCTTGGTAAGAATCGTTGTTTCTTTTTCTTGCGAAGTTTTGTGGTCTATCAAATTTGATGTAATGCCGGGGTATTTCTAGGACATGATCATAAACTGCAGATTTCTCAGAATGTTGGTGAGCTATATGCAATTTTACGTGAGTTCTTAAGATTTTTTGTTTGCTCTATATAACAGAGACCTTATTCACAATCAAGCTTGTACACTTCCGCGTCATGAACTGTGATATTACAGTTGAAGACGGTAAACTGATTAATCTTCTTCGACAGATGTTGTAGAGTGTTCTAATGGAAGCTTTCTTCAAGATGTATCCAATCTTGTCTGACTCCTTTGATATAAGACAGTACAGCAGAAACTGTGGTAGACGGTTCCCATCAAAAGTTTACATTTTAAAGAAGAATTAAATTTATGCAAATCTTCAAGTGTTTTTAAACTATAAATCTATAATCTATATAATATCTAATACAACGAATACAAAGTTATTTTGTATTTATTTTTGATATTAATAATGTCCTTTAGCTATAGCTATGAAAAATTTAAAACTAAATTATTACATTTAAAACATTAAATTATTATTACAACAAAAAAAAATAAAAAAGGATTTTATAACATGAGATTTAGTGGATCTACTTTTAGCTTTTATGTTATATTAATAAAAAAATAACTGTTAGAAGACAGGGTGAAAGCATAAATCAACATCCTGTCACATTTGATGTCGTAAATTTAGATTAGGCAGAGAAATTTCTAAGATAAGGACTTTTGTGAATGATGATATCATCATCATCATTACAGCTCTTCAAAATCCACTACTGAACGTATGCCTCTACCAAGGAATGCCACAACGAACGGTCCTGAGCCACCTGCATCCATCGACTTCCTGTATGGTATAACCGTCATAATATTGTATAGTACCTACTTATTAAGATTTTATTACTGAGGCGACTGAGTGCAATGGGTAGTACTTATTTTGAAGTCGCATAAACAAAACTGAAGCTGTCGAGTCGTCATTTGTGATAATTAAACTAAAATTATAATTACTGAAATTAATAACTTATAATTTTTTTAACTTTGGGCCTAATTTTTTTTGAACTATTTAAGTTTATTATATTTATAGCTTAAATGTGTAACTAATACACTTTTCATTTATTATTTCAGGGATACACACCTTTACACATCGCAATGCAATTTCGCAACGAGAATGTTTACAAGCTTCTCATAGATGTTTATGGTAAGTGCTATCCAATCACTAAGCTCCATAGCAGTTCTAAAGCTTTAAACATTGCTATACTATATCCCATGATTTAAGAAACTGACTGACTGTTCAGACGTCAATACTTTTATCGGCGAAATCTTGGCCCCTTTTCACATTTACCTTTTTGATGGGTTATCATTAATTTAAAAAAAAAGTTTTATCCTCTTTAAATTTAAATAAAAATACTTGACCCCCAACACTTTTTGTTGTTGCGTTTCACTGTTTTCTTTATTAAATAAAATATAAGAATTAAATGTTGACAAATTAATTGGTGCAACTAGTTTCGAGTACTGTACTCGGAAATAAGCCCACCAATATATTTGTCGTAACTTTTTTTTGTAGGATAGGGTGACAAATGAGCACATAGTCCACCTGACGGTAAGTGGTTGTTGCGGCCCATAGACATCTACATCTATCCTCGATTACAAATCAAAATGCAGATGTGTTGTCACCCGTGAGGACTAAGATCGAATGCCTCGTTTGCAGTAAAAGGGGTCTCCGGTTCTCTACACTCACCATACGAAATACAGCAGCATTAAGCTACTATTTCACGCTAGTATTCTGTGAGAGCGTCGTCCTTCCCCGGTCGAGCCGACCCATTAGTGCTACAACTATACTATTAATATAACTGCAGCATGGCTCTACCATGTAAAAAATTAATATACTACTTCTATATATATAACAATAAACTTTTTCGAGACTTAATATCGAGAACTTCTTTTAGTAGATTTTTGCTTTGTATACGCTTAATTATCTACCTTTATGCCAAATTTCAGATTTCTAAGTAGCATAGAAGTGACTTAGGTTTGTGATGAGTGATAAAAATGGCACTATCAGATTTTAATAACACAACAAATACAATAGGTTTATTAATTAAATTTTAGTTTACAAGTTATGTTGTCTTCAAAAGTGCTTTGAAATAATTATGTAAACACACACTGCGTGTACATCACCCTTTTATTTTACGAACTTGGCTAACACACAGTTGTTTTTATTCGTCCTTTAAAATTAAGTTTACTATGACGAAAGTTATGCAAAAATTGTAAAATTTTCATTTTGGTTGTCAAACACTAATGATTACACCGGCTCGACTAACAGTAACTTATTGTAATTGTGAGCTTTGAAGCTTGTAACAAATCGGATTTAAATGTGATAATCAAAACAAGACGATGGCACGAGTGTTGCATTGCATGCGTAATTGGTTTCACAGCTCTCGATTAGTGTCGTAATTTTTGGTTAATAGGAGCTATACGTTATACGATATAAAGCTCAAATTTAAACGCTTTACTTTGAGCTTATTCGTGAAGAGTCGCTGCGATATGCTACGGCCCTTACTTTGCGTCTCTACACACACAGAAATTCACATATTTGCCCTATCCTACCCTCATTCGATGAAACGCTTACTCAATAAGATCGATTATCTTTGTTTGAAAATAGTGTAACTAGTACGGGAACTCTAGAGACAAAAAGTAATCAGACACTGACCGCAAAACCACGCGTCGGTGGCATACAATAGATCCTAAAGGTGTTTCTTTGCTTTTCTTTTGTAATTTAAACACATTTAAATTTACACATCTTTATTAAAATTATAGTCGTCCTGATCGTACAGATTGTCAAATTAATCAGCACAAAAAAGTATGATTATTGCCGCTAGTTTTGAAAACGACTTCTATCTTTAAAAAAAAATCACCTATCACGCATTATAGCCCTTCAAAAGTCCTTACGAATTATTGTATCACGCGGAGAAACAAAGCATAGTTCTACATAGCTCGTTGAGCTTCATCAAGCTTTTAAATAAAGTTAGTTTTTACGGATTATAATATCGTGTATATTAACTTATTTTATATTCCCGACGTTTCGAGCACTTTACAGCACCCATGGTCACGGGGTGGGGGGTGGTGGGGACTGAGTGAGGTGTTCAACGTCCCAATGTAATTAACTGCGGCTACCTCCAGATGCAAATTATTAATTTTTGTTCCGATCTACGCAGTATGAACTTATAGTATCTTGAAGTATTGCAGTTGTGTGCTTGGATTGGGATTTAATTTTATAAATTACAGGGTCCGAAGCAGATATTAGCACCCAGCCGTGTATATTGAAGACGTATTTTTATTTCAATAGTCTCGCGAATCATACTTGGAAGAAATTGGTGTTTAGCGAGGATTTGTGGTCTATCAAATATGATGTGAGTGACACCACCCCGACACCTCTGATATATGGTAGTACAGCGGGCACACCCTCGACTGTGGCCGGCTTCACTCGTTCACTGTAACGTAGGCGCAGCACCCGAAGCTTGTTGTCATGCAAAACTTGCTTGACGTCTTGGAGCTCGGTAGCCAGGTGTTTGCTGTCACAGATCCCTCGTGCTCTCTGAAACAAAGATTTACCCACGGTAGTTATCTGTGAAGAATGGTGATGAGAATCTAGGCTTAAATATCTATCTGTATGGGTCTTTTTTCTAAACATAGTGTGGCTCAAGGTGTTATCAGGATTCCGACTTACTAACAATTCAGAGAAGCTAAAGAATTATTCGCCTTTAACTCCATTGTTAACTGAATTTTAGAATTTATGAAGTTAAGATGGCCTAAAAATGCAGTTACTTTATCTAAAGGTAGAACTGTAAAAGTGTCGTCTCCGTACCGCTTGTAGAATCTTGGATTTACGTGCGAAGTAAGCAGGGCTCAGTCTTTCAAGAATATGTCAGCGACAATGGGAGATACTGGTGAGCCCATCGCCACACCATTTACTTGCTTGTAGAAGTCGTCCTGCCACAATAGATAACCAGATGTAAGGCATCATCATCATCAACCTTTGAATATTCAACCAACTGGAGAGGCCATGCCCGTTAATTCCTAAACAAAAAGTCTGTTAAATTCAGGGAGGCACAAAAGAAACACGTAACTGTATACTTCACTACAAATGCAAAATTGAATCGCGTCACTTGTGTTTGTGTTCATTGCATTTACGCATACCATCAAATTGAACACGTGTCGATATTTTTATCGATAAACAAATCATCATAGTCCGCATAAGTCCAGCGTTGGTAAAAGTGATTTTTAGTGTTTTTGCATTCTTTACTTGTAAACTTGTCGAAATTCTGAAATATTTTCAACAAGAATAACATTGGTGTCAAGGGTAATAATAAAACTATTTAATATATTGATATAATTACAGCTAGACATTACCTACCACAAGTTTAAGGTTGGTACAGCAGTATCGGAAAACCTTCTTTTATTGCTTAGCTTGGGGTATGAAATATGATTTATCAAAATGTTCATAGCAAAAATGTTACTAGCCCGTTTAGTTATCGAAGATTCATGATTTCTACAAGCATCCACTTACGTCAACGACGTAAAAGGATGATGTGTTGTTACGCAGTAATCGTTAATAATCGATTGTATCTACTAACGGTAGCATAGTGGTATAAATAAGTAAACAGTACAGTTCCAACTGTTTTAATAAATAGAACAATCAAATGTAAATGTAATATTTTTTAATCGGTCATCATTCATCAACATCGTTACAGCCCTTGCCAATTCCACTGCTGAACATAGGCCTCCTCCTAGGAACGCCACAAAACACGGTCCTGAGTCACCTGCATCCATCGACTTCCTGCATGTCTTACCAGGTTATCGCTCCATCTAGTGGGGGGTCGCTCTACACTTCGCCTTTCGGTACGAGGCTGCCACTCGAGGACCTTTTTTCCCCAACGGTTGTCGGTTCTTCGAGCTATATGGCCGACCCATTGTCACTTCAGTTTACTAATCCGTTGGGCTATGTCGGTCACTCTGGTTCTACTGCGGATATCCTCATCGCTAAGTTTATAACGCAGAGGAACCCCGAGCATAGCCCTCTTCCATAGCTCGCTTAGCGATCTTGAGCATCCTCATACGACCGGCAGTGAAGTTGTACAATCTAGTTTTCGGGGTTTGAGGTATACCTTACGAGAACATGTGTCGTGATTTTCCGAACGCTGTCCTTGCATGTTGAATCCGTCGATTATTTGTCAACTCATCAACAACTTCGAGCTTAGTGCTCCCAACAACTATCGGCATAGGTGTGACATGGACATTAAACATGATCTTTGTTTTGTACTTGTTCATCTTAGGACTTACCCGTTGGGAGACACTATTGAGGTCATTGAGCATAGTGCTAAGGTCCTCCACCGATTCCGCCATAAGGACTATATCGTCGGCAAATCGAAGGTGAGTGATGTAATCGCCATTGATGTTAATACCGTATTCTTTCCGGCCCAGTAGTTTGAAAACGTCTTCTAATGCAGCGGTGAAGAGTTTCGAATATATGACGTCACCCTGTCTTACACCTCTCTGCAGTTGGATATGTTTCGTACTCTGGTTCTGTACTCGGATAGCCATCGTAGCCCTACTGTACAAACATTTCAGCACTTTGATTTACCAACACAGTCAACTTGGCACTGCTGAAGGGACTGTAGCACCGCCCATATTTCGACGGAATCAAAGGCTTTCTCATAGTCCACATACGCCAGACAGTGGCAGATTGTACTCTTCGGTCTTCTGTACAATCTGCCGCAGGGTATGTATGTGGTCTATGATACTGAATTCTTTTCGGAAACCGGCTTGTTCGGGAGGCTGGAAGTCGTCGAGTCTGCGTGAAAGACGTCGGTCGTTTATTGAATTATGTCCATTTTTTTCCTTACGTAAAAAGCATATAACGAAAATGTATTCTATCATTATTAAAGTATAGGATATTTTTAAGATAAAAATATTTTTTGATGGGCGATATTCAATAGAATCTATAAATTAGAACTCCCAAATCATGTCTCAGAGTTTTGACCTAAACGTGCATCGTGAGAATGATTGATTCTAAATAAATAAACAAATAATTTACATTTACAAAATTTGCTTTGAGCTTATTGTAGTAGAGAAAACGAACTATTTTACGAAGTAATCGTTATTTCAAGCAACAAACGGAAAATATATAATTTGAACGAGGAAAACTTGTAATTTCGCGTTTTTTTGTAATACTCCTCCTTAATACTCAAAGTCATCAACTGACCATAATTTCATTGTCTGCCAGATGTAGGTCTTTAATTTCGCTGACAAAATCGTAGAAATCCTTTGTGTGTGCTCTTGTTTGTCCCCTAAGCGGTGATAGTATTTTCGCTAAGTGTTGAGTGAATCTGTGTAAGATGGTGAATCGATTTTGTTCACTATGTGACGTAGTGAGAAAGAAGAGAAAATTATAATTAAACCAAGATATAAAAAACGTTGGTTCACCGTAGGGTTGAAAAAATCGTGTAAACACAAAAGAATGCTAAAGGTATTGGCATTAAAATCGAATAATGAAATACTTATCCAACATTATAAAAAATATGGAAAATTACTAAAAAAAGCTGTCATTACATCAAAGAAAATAGAATGCAGTAATGAAATTATAAGATCAAATAATAAAATCAAAACAATGTGGCATATAATAAAGGAAAGAACAAATAAAAATATTATAAAAGAAAAAGATAACCTTAAACTAAAAATAAACAGTACTTTAACTTCAGACCCGATTTTAATAGCAAATACTTTTAATAGGTTCAATGCTTCGTTAGGCGAAAATTGTAACCCGCCAGCAAGGGGTCGAACTACACAAAAAGCGTCAAATAACTCTATTTATCTCAGCCCAGTGACCCCAAAGGAAGTATATAAAATAAAACAAAATTTAAAAAATAAAATTAGCTTCCGGATAGACGAATTACCTACCACCAACCTTAATAAAACATTGCGCAGATGCGTTAGCTCTACCACTTTATGAACTAATCAACCAATCTCTCACAGAAGGCATTTTCCCAGACATGTTAAAAAAGGCATTAATAATACCCATCCATAAGAAAAATTCAAAAACCGATATCGATAATTATTGCGTATAATAAAAGTTTTTGAAAAAGTAATGTTCGAACGTGTGTATAATTTCTGCGAAAAATATAAAATCTTTAGTGGATGTCAGAACGGTTTCCGTAAAAATCGATCTTACTACTTACCATACTAGCAGTATATAGGTATATTCAAGATATTCTAAAGATATTAAACAATAAAGAATATGCAATAGGAATACTCTTAGATATGACCAAAGCATACGATAAGGTACAATATAATATATTACTTAATAAATTAAATAGTATAGGTGTTTGTGGGATTAGTTTAGAATGGTTCAAATCATACTTACAAGATAGAGAACAATACGTAGAAATAGAATACTTTGATAATAATAAAATAGTAGAAGTGAGATCAAATAAAATAATTGTAAATGCTTCAATACCCCAAGATAGTGTATTGGGGTGTTTATTATTTTTAATATATATTAACAATCTCAGTGAAAATATGGTTAACCCATGTGTTATGTTTGCGGACGATATCTCTATCTTAGCACCTTGTCGTGACGTAAATAACGTAAATGATATATTATATAAAATATTTGAAAATAGTGACCAATGGATGAAAGAGCATAACCTGGAAATAAACTACAAAAAAACAAAAATTTTGCCTTTTTACCCCTATCAAAAAAGGCAGACAAAAATTAATTTTTCTTACAAAAATACAAAAATCGAGACATTAAATGAGCACACTCTACTCGGAATAGTTTTGGGTAGTCACATCAACTGGAAATCTCACGTTCAGAAAATTCGTAGCAAATTGTCTAGTTTTTATATGCCCTAAGTGAAATAAAAAAGACAATTGACCTCCAGCCCCGTTAATTACTTACAATGCCTATGCACAGGCGTGGCTAAGGTACGATATTATCCTGTGGGGTTACAGTACAGATGCAACCACCATCTTCACCTTACAGAAAAAACTAATTCGCATTATATGTAACATAGAAAGAAATGAAAGTTGTCGTCCTCATTTTAAAAAACTTAAACTTCTTACCTTAATTTGTATTTATATTGGAATTATACAAATTTGTGCGAAAATACCCTAATTTCTACGTAAAAAGAGAAACTAAAAATACGGCTTATAGTTTAAGACTCGGAAATAGATTATTGCTACCAACTTCTAATTTGCTATACCCTGTATTGCTATGTACATATTGTGAAAATTGAATATTATTAATTTCTACATTATGGAATGCAAATAAATATATTGTATTGTAATATTTTCGTAAATATAAAAAATCATTATATTAAACTTACTAGCTATTACATCCAGTGTTATTTACTGAGAATCTAAACTAAAACCTAAAATTAATAATAAAAAATGCCACTTATAATGAGCGTTTATATAAGTGAATATAATCTTTGTTTTAACTTTGATTAGATAAAGTTTCAAATGTAGAATAAAATGTTAAAGCTACACGAACAGACTCAATAAGTTAAGAATCGTTTGCGGCGAAAATAGTGACATCTATCCCCAAAAACCGGCGTTAACAAGTTTTCAACACCGTCGCTCTGAAACGTGATGTTAAATTAATTACATAGACGGCGCTCATTTATAGTATTTAAACGAAAAAATTGAAAATGTACTAATAATATCTAATACTTTGTTTTAATTTTTAGATGCAGATCCAAACGTGAGAGACTGGTCAGGTAGGAAACCTAGACAGTACCTTGTTCACATGGACACGTCTCTTTCACCCGGATCCTACAGAAGTAAGTTGAAGCGGTTTACTTACAAGCTATAGTTTATTTTATCTACCTTACGAATTATAGACTCCAATTTGTATGGTATTTTTACTGCAAAAATTCTTGTTGCATGTTATTTCAAATTATTTTGAAGAGCGTTTTCAGCATTTTGAAGGAAATAATAATTTAGTATTTGTTCTTTAGCCTTTTAACTTCCCTATATTGTATTTTAGCCAACTATTTATAGTTATCACGGGTGTTATTACAACATTTAAGTACTCTTAGCTTTAATTTTTATTAAACCCAGGAAAGTGCAGTTACGTCGGAAATTCCTGTAATTAATTAAAAGTTGTACAAATGTTACATTATTATGAGAGATCCTTACATTTATCTAGCAACCATGTTCCAGAGTCGACTTCGTACAAATTAAGACGAACCGTCACTTCTCCTCCAGCTATAAGAGTTACAGATACATTACCAACAATGTCAAGTAAGGATGTGTGTGTGTCGAAAAAAACTGGTGTGGTTGTTTAATACAAATTTCATAAGCGAGTTTCTCAGCGATTACTTTTATATGAAAGGTGATAATGTATATTAATCATAATATCATAAGTTACAAAGAAAGTGATTTGACATAGGCTTTCCAAAAAGATTTGTACGTCATAGAACCACTGTGTAGCTGTAGTATGTTTGTATTGTGCTGTATTATGTTTGTAGCACAAACGCGGCTCGACCTTTAAGAGAACACATTCTACTTTTCCGGTCATGAGTAGGGAACCAGGGACCCTTTCTGCAGTTTTTTTTAATTGTGCAAGCAGCTATGCAGGTCTAGAAGGACCAAACCTGTAAGATCTTACGTGATTGCTGCTATGGTATTCAATGTATTGAAGGAGTTGCTTAGCTATGAGCAATTTCACTTTTTCTGGGCTAAGTAGGTACATAGTTTCCCAGACATGTGTTACGTTTGCGCATTAAGGGTCAATTAGTAAGGGTGTGGGTCAATTAGTAAGGGTGTGCAGAGGTGTTTCTTCTGTTAAGGAACAGAATCGGCACGTCTTTAGTTATGCGAGTTGCTTGGTCCCAGTATAGGCATGTTGTTTTTAGACAAGTGTCCAGTCAGGGTTTTCTCCAGAATACGCAGTTTATTGTTACGTAATCCCAAAGCTTCTGAGGCGAGTATTTTTGCTGGTTACGAAGCATTTTATTTTAAACGGAATTGCACATTGATTCCTAATCCAGGATAGATGTAGGTTTAACTTCTCTTACTATCACGTGAAATGTATGCACGTTTATAATTATCTTTTATTTTTTTAATATATCACGTTTATTTAAATTGTCATCCGATTCTTAGCTGTATTTAATATTTCAAGATCATCAGGAAGTTAGTTAAAAACCAATTACCAAATTTGATCTAAACAGACAATAAAAATGCGGTAAAAACTTGTTGGCAAGAATATTCAAAGACTTGGCTTCCACCTTGCCGATTGGTAGTGCTGGTCCCTGTCACCAGTTTAAAACCTGGGCTTTTTATTTTTTCTATGGATGTCCCACCATCCATTTGGTTCACAGCATTGGAATTATTTACCTGCGACGACGATTATACGAATACTGGTTGCGCGGAAAACCATTCGTATTTATTTATATTTGACTGTAGGCTTGCCAAATCGTTTATCCCTTTCCAAACGATATTATTCATACCCTCCTATCGACACATCGGGGTGGTGGGGTGGGAGGGGAAAGAAGATGATTCTAGAATATTACGCGATCATCACAACCGAAGGAATAAAAAGGCACGCGCGGCCGACGCGCACTCTCTTCCCGCCGCGCTCGTCGTTGGAACCACACCGCTTAAGACAATAGTGTCATAGAAGGGCTATTGCCCACGCGCACCGCTAGTATATCCGCTTTAGCCTGGAAGCAGTCGAGCTTCAGGAAACCCGCATCACCTCGTGTGAGAAATAGTCGCGCACCGCACTCTCTCCCGACGTATCACCGAACAAGAAAGGTTGGGGCCCCAAAGAGTCTACCCAGAGTGTCTTCCAGAAGTCGCAGCAACATACTGCCCAAGCCGCATAAAAACAACACCCCGGTGAGTGAATATTCCTTACTAGTTACTGCTTGATATAATTGTGTCCGCTCCAATTTATTTTCTCCTAATCAAGCAGGATTCCTTTTATAGATTTGGCAAATAATAGTTCGTTTTAGGGAAGAGCGAGTGTATTGTATGGGAAACCGCGTGCTATAGTCGCCATTTTGGGTAAACGAAGAAGCATTTCGCATATACAGTCCACTTTGGTTAATATCTCGCGTAATAGGTTTAAGGTTCGACCGGGGAATTAGACTTCGGTAACCTTAGGCTCGTCGCTGCACCATTTTATGGTCACTTCGGCAGGATTTGGACTGGTGTTTAGTAGTCGTTCAACCATTTTCTGGCCGAAATATTAGATTAATTACTTAGACAATGCACTCTAATTTTATGGAATAGACTTATTCATTTTAATAATGTTCGTTTAATATAAAATTAAACTTTGGTTACTTACTTGCAAATAGAATTAATTCTTCATTTTAATAGTATTCGTTTAGTTTAAATTTAAATTTTGGTTAGTTACTCGCAAATAGAATTATTCATTTAAATAGTGTTTGTATTTGGTTTAAATTTAAAGTTTATTAGTCGCTTAAGTAATTGAAACAGTGTAATCACACGCGTTTTGTACGCTTACCCGACAATTTTGATAAAAATATATTGAGTTTAGCGAGCGACACGCGTCACCTCGGCTCGTTGTACAGGTGTTCAATTTAACGACGTAATACGGCACGCGTGTCCATCCTCCAGCGTTGTGCGATTAATTGTGATTAATATAATATTAATTACAATAATTTAAAATGGCAGTTAGTGGAAATGAAATCAAAATTAAAACGCTTTATGCCAAGAGGGACATACTTTTTTCACGTATACAAAGTATTAGTGAACACATAAAGAACATTAATGAGCTAGAAGCAGTGCGGGAAACTTTTTTGAATGAAATTGAAACGGTGGATTCTTTGCGGACGGATTACGAAAGGATATTAGACCAAATTAATCATTTGGAATTACAAATCGACCCGAAATACATAGTGAACTACCAACCGCTTCTAGCATTTGAAGATATGTTGTGTCGTGTGAAAATAACGGCGAAACTCTTACAGTCTCCATCTTAAAACGAAGCAAAGCCGGAAATCGTACTCACGCACTCACGTGACTCAATTAGGTTGCCGCCAATAGATATTCCGGTATTCAATGGTGATATTAAGACATGGCCCTTCTTCTTCAGTAGTTTTCAAAACAATATACATAATAACCCATCGTTATCGGACGCTGAAAAATTATATTATTTAATTAGTAAACTTAGTGGCAGGGCACAGCCAATTTGCTCGGGTTTTACACCTACAGCAAACAATTACTTGTTAATATTCGAAACGCTTAAAACTAAATATGAAGATAGGAGAATGTTAGCTTCCGAATATTTGAACCAGATATTCGATCTTAAACCTATATCATCCGCGAACATCAACGGCTTAGAGCAGTTTTTAGATAGATTTTTGGCTACGGTGGCTGCACTTAAGAATTTGAAATTTAATGACCTTATGGACGTGGTGTTTCTCCATATTGCATTAAAGAAATTAAACCCCGACACCGTGCGTGCGTTCGAAATGGAGCATCGTAGCTCGGAGATGCCTTCCTTTCATTCATTAGCATCGTTTGTGCGAGATCAAATTAAGGTAATGCAGCGCTCCCCGAACGTTAAACAAGAAATTAAAAAATGCGTCGACCGTAGACAGACTCAACCATCTAAAACAGCAGGGTCGTTAACGTACGTAACCGCTACGTCGGCACCACTTCAGCATGCCTGTATCATATGTAAAGATAAACACGGTAATTTATACAATTGTGCGACCTTTCGTAAATACTCACCAAGCGAACGTTATAAATTAGTAAAGACAAACAACCTATGTCTGAACTGCTTAAGCGATAAGCATTTAGTTGCAAAATGCAATTCTAGTTCCGTATGTAGCAAGTGCGCCAGGAAACATCACACGTTATTACATTTTGAAAATAGCAACATATCGGCGTCAAGTAAAGTGGACAAGGAATTCACCCCTACTAAAGTCAACGATTCTAGCGGTCGACCTGGTGATGTCGCTCTGTGCTCATTGGCAAATATGGGAGCTCATCCTTCTTCAACCGTGTTACTGGGTACGGCACGTATTTTAGTTAGGGATTCGCGTGGAAACAAACAAGGCGTCCGTGCACTGCTGGACAGCGGAGCCCAAAATAGCTTTATAACGCGACAATGTTGTCAGCGCTTAGGCTTAGTAATAAATAGGTCACTCTCATGTCCCGTAGTCAAAGGCATCGGAGGTACTAGTAAAGTTACCCAGGGATATATAAATTTAAAATTTTATTCTCTGATAGATCGTAATGTTAACTTTGATATAAATGCACTAGTAGTAGATAAGGTCACTGAACGGCTGCCAACCGTTTCGGTTGACACCTCGGCAATGATTGAATTTAAAAATTTGACTCTAGCAGACGACACTTACGCCGTTCCTGGAAACATAGACATGCTCATTGGAGCATCGCTTTTCCCTCATCTTTTGTTAAACAATAAGGTCAGGGGCAACTCCTCGCATACCGGGGCCTTACGCATTGGAAACCGTCTTGGGCTATGTCATCGTTGGCTCCGCCCCCATCATGGATAGTATTTCGGCAACCTCTTATTGTGGTATGGCTGTCGAACCGCTCGAGTCGTTAGTCCGCAAATTTTGGGAGATGGAGGAGGTGAACGTCCCACCCATAGCTAGCTCAGATGACAGATTATGCGAGGAAATTTACGTCCGCACGACCGTTCGTGATCGCGGCGGTAGATATAGTGTAGCGCTACCCTTTAAAGGAGATGTTTTATCTCTCGGCGATTCGCGTCAAATGGCGAAAAAACGTTTCTACAGCTTGGAGCGTAGGATGCTCGCTTCACCCCAGTTAAAAGAAG